CGACGTCTCCGCGATCCTTTTGTTTCGTTCGAGCCGATTTCGACACCGACCGATTGTCCTTGCGTCCCCGTCGTCGTAATCGCGCCCGCGTATCGATACGCGTAACGACAACCCGGGGCCTCTGACCCCCGCGCGCGCGCTGGGCCCCGTTGCGTCGACTTTATCGCGACCGGAACGCCACTTTGCCCCGGGAATGCGTCGCGTCTGCAAAAATCGACCGAGGGTGGGTCAACCGGTGATTTACGCGAACGATGCTCGGTCGATCCGGACATTACGAGTCTTAAGCAACACCCGGTGGACGGGGCCCCACGGTCGAAACGTGGAATGGGACCGTTGGGGTCCTACAGTGTTCGAAAACGGCGATTTAGATACGAAAAATTTGAGATATCTTGAGATTATCGATTGAAGGCATTGCAGAGTATGTGTGCATGTGTCGCATGATGTGTAAATTTCAAAGTTATTCATTTAGTTAGTCGCTTGTTAATAATAATTTCGTTAGTTACGTCCGAGTTAGAATTCTGTAGGAACCATTGTATTCAAATATTAAAGGAAAGATATCTTACAAATTATATTTCACCTTAAAAGTGCATAAATCCTTAAAAACAAGTTTATGGACGTTTATTAAAACTGTGAACATTGATTTTGCTTAATAATTTTTATATTATTTTATGTTAAATGAAAATTGAATTGTTTAATTAAAAAAAAAAACGAAATGCATTTTTGTGAAAGTTTTACTGCTGCATAACATTTTTAATTATATAATGTATGTAAATAATGAAGAAAATAATAGAAAATAGGATTAATAAGAGTAAGATTCGCTAATTTTAAAGTTATATTATTTGAAAAGTAGTAAAATGTAGCAATTGATTTTTAGAGAAACCATAGAAATGTTCTATTCCAAAAACCTACGATAACTACATACTAAAATTGGTACTTTTTGATTGCCTGTATATAAATTTTGATCAATTGTTTTTATTCTAAAATAAAGTGTGTAGCTTTCTGTGCAAGATTCATACAGTACTAAATAAACTCATTTTAATATCATTATTTCCTAGAAAGAGAAATATGGACTGCTAAAACAGATTCCCAAGAAAAATAGAAACATCGAGTTTCTGAGAAAAAGTTAACCTATTTAAACAATTTCTAGGAATAAATAATGTTTCAAATGAAGATCCTTAAGGATTTAGAATGATTGGAGATGGTAAAAAATTGGGCCTTTTCGCGTCTATGTCGTCGTTTTTGAACACTGTGGATCGCTGGGATTCTCAGAAACGTGCTAGAGCCTTTATAGTTCCACGAAAATGGGACTGGAAAGTGCAATTGTTGGAGCGATATGATAAGTGAATATTCCTGTACTTTCGGGATACACAGTGGACGTGGAGTAGTAGAAATGGAATTATCGGGACGCTAGAACTGTCGAAAATACGGTGAAACAACCGTGGTTGTGTGATAATGGGACCAAAAGGTGCAATTATCGAAATTCGTGCGATTATCGGGGTAATCGATTCAGTGAGAAGTCCCATTTGGACGATACCGGGTGGACTAAGCGAATTGGTACAAGCTGCTTTCTCCGGAAATTGTGAGAGTCAATGGACTCTTATGTAATATATTTGTGGCTCAACATTTTTATAATTACTATTACCAATTAGAAATATTTGGAAATCGAAACGTCACATTTTTATGGGAACATATTGCAACTTAACTTATCGGTTTAGTAGAAAAAATTTAAAAAATTACAGAAATTTAATCTGCATCTCACCTCCTCTTGAGCAGTGAAAATCTATATAATATGTGTATATAAATTTTAATTTTTCAAAAAATTTAAAAAATAAATAAAACTAACTTCTAAATTGGAAGGAACACATAAGACACACGGGAATACTAAAGGCTAAAATAATGCTGTATAAAGCAGTGTAAGAATCTTCGTATATTGCCCGTAAGCCACAAAAGTAATCGGTAATTGTTTGATTTTCTAATCATAAATATTAAAAAAACTATCGAGTAGCTGAACAGGATGACTAAACTTCAACTAAACCAATGTCCCTAAGTACTTGCACTCTCCTTGCAAAGCCTCGAAATGAAACAGTCTCCGAGACAGATCGTTTACCTTAACCAGGCGTTTCGAGAATCCTGCAAACGAAAGAACCGATTCCAGGGATGCCAGAAGTCGCACGTTCGCTTCATCCCCGGGAGAGAGATGTCTCCGGTGAACCTTGAAAGAGGATTCCCTGGCGCGATCGCTCGCACTCCCATCGATTCGAAACGGCCGTGGCCGGCGTGTATCAGATACAATGCGATCCGTCTGTTCCCGTATCGCGTAATCGCCTTATCACGAGGGGGGAACACGCACGCCGCGAAGGAACGTAACGGTTTCCTGCGTTCGATCAAAGCACCGTTCCCAGGGAAAAATTCCAATACAAATTTGCATCGAACGGCGCGCCGCTAGAATCCGCCGTGAAAGCTTATGTGTGTAGCGACGGGATTCAGCCGCGCACCGGCCACGGGAACACCGGGGGAAAAGGGGGATTCGCCGGCCGTGTAGGAGAATGCAGGACAGAGGAGTGTGTCGAATAACTTCCTAGAGGCGCGCCTGTCACGACGCCCCGGGTCATTGGTCACCCCGTCCTTATCTGCGGCCGGCTGTGCGGGCCATCTTTGAAGGCCCCTTTCAGACGGCTCGATTTTCACCGCGCGATTTCATTATCCCCCCCGATATCCCCGCCACGTAAGGCCCCACTGAATGGTCCTTTCACACGGCCGGGCGATAAATTGCGCCCGGGGTATCGTCAGAACACGCGGGGGCCCAGGGAGGATCGGACGCGCTTCCGCGTGAGTCCCAAACCGAAGGTCTCACGTCTCGATGATTCATCTGACCGGTGACGCGCGTGTTTTCCGTCGCACGGTGGACCGTGGACTGGCAATGGGGGTTTTTTGGGACTCACTCTGGACTACCAGGGTGTATGGTGTAATCTCGACCGGAGTGACGCAACTTCGAAAGTAGCGGGTTTTTTTATCCATTGGTTCGAGTAGTCCCTGTCACGGTGACTCTTGAATCTAAGGGAACCGGGGGCCTAATGTCATCGCGGAGGCAGTGCGCGATCTTTCATCCAGTCATCGCTTTGATCTTGGTCGGGCTGAACGCGGGGACTAGGACAGTAGTTCAGTAGTTAGATCTGGTTACACCTGATATCTACCGACTTGGAGATTAGAGTCTCGTGCAGTGAGATTTTCCTATTTTTTATTAACGTGGAGGAGCATCAATATTAGTGAAATTTGTATTTATTGAGTTAAAACTTGCCAGCGAGGAAAAATATACATCATATATCATCGGTGAGATTCTTCGATAAGATTTCTAAGATTTCTTTTACTTGAAATTTTCATCTAGGGAGGGCTGGGTTAGGTCAGGGATTCGATAAACCATTTGTCATTGCTTCTATACATCACGAGTCTATAATCATAATACATGTAGAAGTCTATAACTTTAATTATTCATATCTTTAAAACTACCAGATAACTGCGGCTAATATTTAGTAGACAAACTTAACAATATGTACTCTATCATCCTACAAATTATTGAAATCGGTGCGTCACCGCTGCTGACCACCAACATCCACCCTTCTAGCAAAGGAAAAACGCTCCTCAGTGATTCCCAAAACAAAAGTCTGAACGACTCAACGCGTTGAAAATTGTTGGCTTAAGGTAATTAAACATGTGATTGCACAATAAACGATACATACTACATGGAACACAAAAACTCTATTCTTTTTGGGGCACGCTCAACGTCATATCCTGAGTATGCAGGGGATAACACGCCCCCCGATCCAAAAGCTGGAAATCGCGATTGAAATTCCAACAGAAATATTACCGAGTCGATATCCCTGGCCAAGCTACGATCCGGATTACCGAGAGTGTTGCCTCGAAACGTCCAGCCGCAATCGCAAAACAATCGTCACGGTGTTCCATTCCGCGTGGAAGGAAAGCGATAATTGCCACCGCGGTACGTTTCAATTGCAGTCGTGGCGACCGCGATTTATATAATCGCGTCTGCAATATCCGATACGTCGAAACATCAGGTAACACGGAAGCATCGGGCCGGTAGATCGCTTCTGGAGCACACCCCGTTCCCAAGCGTTGTACGGCACCGCGGAATTTCCGTGCAGATCGGCATAACCGTGAAGCAATTCGTCCGGGGGAATCGTTTAATGCGGACCGCGCGATGGCTCGACGGGCCGAGTCACGATCGGTTACTTTCCTCCGTCGAGATACACGCTTTGGAGAAATCCGAAACAATCGGCGGCACCGCCCATTTACGTACACTTCGGCCGGGTGTACGCTCGTTAGGTAACCAGGCTTCGAGATACCCGGATCGTCGGCTTTAATCGTCGGTTACGCTGATGATGATGCGAACGCCACAAGGAAGTAACGGGAAACGGGCCCTCCTTCGTTTTCATCCGAGGTGAATTTCACGCGCGCGTTCGTTCCGCGAGACCGAAATCCACGACGATCGGTAGTCCAGGAACATCTACCTACGAGCGAACAACTCCCATTAGGCGACCGGAAGGTCCAAGGTCGAATTCCTCGTCAACGATTCAACCCTTTAAATAATAACCCAAAATTTGCTAAAAGAGCATTTAATTTAATTTTTAAGTAATTGTGCCGGGCATTCCAATAATTTAATATTGGAATACTCGAAAATTTTGATTTTTCTTTTAGCTGTGTGCTTTGTGAATAAAAGAAACGTTTCTCCTTTCGTTGCTTGATTACAATTACCATTTACGATAAAAACATGGGGTTGAAAACACAACGCGAACGTTTATAAGATGGACGAAGCTAACGAATGACGGTGTTTGATTTGCAGATGGAGCATAGAAGCGCGGCGTCCGACCAGCAGGAGCATCAGTAGCGATCAGCGATCGTCGGGGCCCTGAGTGGGCCCACTCGACGGGGACGTCGTCGCCGGGGCCCGTGCTCCCGAGGGTGGGCGGCGTTGTAGCGCCGTGATGGCCGCGACCGACGGTCAGATCGTGGTTGCGGCGGCACGATGGGCCGAGGAAGCGACGTACCTGCGCGAATTCGTTTCCAAGTATCGTCTGCCGGCGGTGATCAAGATCACGAAGGGCCAGTATGGCGGGCTGGGTGTGCCGACCTTACCCGCGCCCAGTCTGCAGAGTACGGCGCTGCTGGTGTCCGCGGGACGTCGACGAAAAATCGTGGCCCAAGCGGTGAAGATCAAGGAGGGGCGCAGGGTAGTGGGCGTGGGCCCCAGATTGGCGATCCCGGACTCGTACGCGGGCTACTTCGAGATCCTGAGCGAGGAGGGTAGAGCGGTGAGGGGCATCGAGTCGGTGAACGAGCTGTGTCGACGCTGCCCGGACGAGGGAGCCCTGGTGCGGGAGACGGTGCGCGGAATCGCCTGCAGAGTGGACGACGATTCGGGGATAGTGGTCCCGGAGGGCACGAGGACCCTTGCAGCGGGCGAGACCATCGTGACGGCGGGCGAGGTCAGCTTGCCGGGCCGCGGTAGATTTCTGCGGTGCGTCGACTGTCGGGGCGATAGCGTTCTGCTCGCGATGGACCAGCGGGGACGCTTCAGCGCGCTCGCGCGCGAGGACAACATCAGCGGCGTCCACACGGCCAGAGCACTGCTGAGCAAGCGTCTGCCATTGACCGTCAGACTGGTGCACGGTCAGCCGCCCAGGGGATTGAAGTCGTCCTCGCAGTTCGTCCCGGAGCTCAGGCTGCTGTCCACGTTCGAGGAAGAGCACGTGTTCGCGTTGCCGCTGCAGAGAGAGGGCGCCGCGGTCGCGTTGCCGCTCGCCGCTCCGCTGAAGCTGGTCAAGGCGAGGAACGAGGAGGCGCTCAGGTCCATGCAGGAGTTCACGAGGCTCGTGGAGCGCGCTTCACGCCTCGTCGCTGATGTGGCCGACCGCGCGCACGTTCTCGACGGCCGTCTGGGCGAGAGCAAGCCCTCCAGGCAGACCAGAAGCGGATCCGGATTTCTCAGGCGGTCGTCGACCAATTCGGACAACGGTCCGCTCAGCCACCACAGGAACAACGCGAGCCATCATCATCATCACCATCATTATCACAGCAATGGGCACCAGGCGTCCTCGGGTCACGCGGGATACCGAGACGAGAACCGCGTACCGCCCTCGGCCTGCACCGAGGAGTACGACGAGATCGATCAGATCTACGACTACGTACGTGGGTTTGCGCCTCTACCCAAGAGCGTCAGGTCACCCTACGAGAGCCCGCTGCCCGGGACACAGGGCTCCAGCCCGCCGTTGACGCCCGTCACCGTCACGATCGCGCCCCTGCTGGACGATAGACCGGAACCGCCGCCCATAGAGACGATACCGACCAAGAAGATCCAGGCGGAGAAGAGGACGAGGCGCGCCGTCAAAGAGGCCCCGCAGCCCAGAGTCGAGAAGCCGCCATTAGCCAAGCTGTACGTGAAGAACAGCGGCACTCACAGGGGACGCCCGTTGATGAGGCAAAAGAGCGCGTCGCCGTTGAAGGAAACGCCGCCGGGTTACAAGGGTGGCTCGCCGCTTTTCAACATCCGATACAAGAGCCTGACGAACCTCCAACAGGCCATGGAGCTCGACGGGACGCTAGACTCCAGCCATTCCGGGGGTAGAACTTCGGGGGACTCCGGTGCTGGTGCTAAGCTGCCGGAAAAAAGGTATAAGGTTTAGTCAACGACTTGGTGCATCGACCAGAGGTTAAAAAAGCATTGGGTAGTTTTGTGGTTTGGGTGTATGTATCATAGACAGATGATTCTGACGAGTAGATTGTTTGGTCCGTATAATTCTCATCAGAAAACTCCATTCTTGCATTCTTACCAGTCACGTTACGTATAGTATGGAACAAAATGATAGCACACCCTGAAAATACACTAGTTGCTTAATTTGAAAAGATTATTTTATTATGCTTTATATAGTTAGAGTGTTTAACCCTTCGACTACGGTCGATTTTGACGCAAGCACAAGTTGTGTGCGGAAATCATTCTCACGCCTTGAACAACATACAAGTTGAACGCTCATAGGAGAAAGATATCTTACTAAAATTAGAAATACGTTGCCTCATAAAAGAGACTAATCATTTGACCGGTCATGGCAGAAATGGGTATACATGAAGCGTCGGTAGGTTTAGTGTTAACTCTTTGAAATTGTTTTCCTTTAACAAACACAGCTTTGACCAGTTATACTGAACAGTTCTCGATTATATTAATATCAGGGGAACACGTTCAACAACATATACAATTTTTACTTAAATTACAAGGAATGCTATCTTTTTGTCGCGTACTATAGTAGTAGGATCTCCATATTCGTGAAAGATACACTTTATTGTATTCGTGGTGAATATTCTGTTGGATAATATTTTGTTCCAAACTAACGAATTACAAATTACTTTATATGGAAATTTAAAATGCATCTGTTATAGTATCACGAAAAATTTGTCACAGAAGTAACACGTTGAATTTTGCGCTAAGCAGACGAGGATTCTTGCAGCAAATACCGTTCGAAGTGTCGATCAGCGTGGAAATCGAGTACCCCATCGTTCTCGATTCACAATGGCGGGCTTCGAACGGTATTATAACGACACGTAGCTAATCCATGATGAAATTGTTCGTCGTCCACGCAGATCGCGGCGTTTGAGCAGACCGCGTTCGCTGACGAATTTAGTGTGGGAGCTCCGCGGCGGAAGTGGTCTTGGCTGCACGAGACCGGAAACCCCTCCACCTACCACAGCAGCACCATTGCCTCCGACTAAATGCGGACCACGTCTGGCTGTCACCGTGGTGGCACCCCGACGTGTCGGCACGCTCTACCTCTAACTCGTAAGTACCACCTTACATATCTTTCCTCGGACCTCTCATCCTCTTCTCCAGGTTTAGACTCGGCATTTCTCGTCTTTCCATAGAAACACTTGTTTCAAACAATATCGAACGAGCTAGGCTATTTCGAATCAACCGTTTAACCCTTAAGTGCAATGTAATTATTTGAAAATTTATGTAATCCTCCATTAGTTCATTATTTTTTAAATGCTTTAAAGGAAGGTTGATTCCCATTTACCAAACTTAACATTCAGTAAAATAATTCAGTTAAGATCGAGAGTTCACTTAAGGGTTAAAGGTACCCCAGTCAGAGGTTAGTAAACGCAATAATACAATTTCGAAGTCTGCATAAATTGTAAATTCAAGTGTAATCCTCCTAAGCCATCCGCCATTGCATACCAGCGTCGATAAGTACACGGGTAGAACTTAATTCCAGTTCGATAAATCTCCCATTAAATCGCAATCAGGATCGGAACGAAATTGAATTAACGATTTAGTTTCACGACTCGAGAATGAATAGTACCCTCGAGTCGTTTGTTCTCCTAATCGGTTACAACCGCGCAAACACCGGTGCTACGAATCCCGTCGTTAAGCTGGCGTTTTTTGTCCCGGTCGAGCACTTTGTCGCCTCGTAAACGTCGCGTAAAAAGAGGCGATTGCTGAAATCCACTTTTAACGCGATCACGTCGTGAGATCCGTTTCCCGGTCGCTGTTTTATCGACGGGGAGGATACGTCGAGACGCCAGGACAATCCGCGGACGCGATCGTCCAGGAAGGCTTACCGGTTACGGCGCAGTTAGAGAGTACTTTGTCCGGGGAATCGTTAAATTTACAGGACCCAACCCGGGGCGATCTTTTAACGAAGCATTTTACTGGCCGTTATAAAAGGCGGGCAGGTGTTTCCCTATTGCTGGCGAGTCCTTATTCGTTTAATCGTTCCTGCTCAGGCCCCCGATCGTCATAACCGCGTCTAGGAAGCGCACCTGTGCCACGCAGGAAGAGCTCGGTCTTATTGCGAATTATTGTTGGTTGGCTTCCGAGGCTACGTCCGCGGGAATAGAAAACGACTCCAGTTCTCCTATTCGTTTTAGCGAAATGTGAATTTTCGTAATTATAGCGACCGCTGGGAGAACGTAACGCGATGTCCGGGTGCGTTTAATTGCTTTTCATTTGCTGGAACTCGACCGTGCACGGGTGGACTTTGCATACGTTCTTTACGACGATACACAACGCGTTGTCCCATCGACAAAAATTGAAAAATTGTCCCTTCTGTTGATAAAGACAGAATTTATAGACACGTTTTACGACCCATTAGAACCCCTACAAAGTAGCAAATAAATGAGAGAATCAAGAGGTTAGTTGACATTTGTCGTTAGTGAAAGATAGTTGCTTTTCTATTGTATGATAATTTGTTGTTTGAAATGGAATCTGCTGCGAGAAGTATGTATTTGGATTATGTTTTATTCGGTTGGTTATTGTTTTGATTCTTTTTTAGAAGAATAATTTTAAAATACTCCTCAATCCTTTTCATTAACTTTTACTGTATTCTTCATTATTATGTTTGTTTATCTTTGTGAACGATTTAGTCATCGTCCATTCTTCTGTCCTTGTTGTTTCCGACCAAGATACTGTTTATAAATATTGACAATGATGGAAACAGAAGACATAGTTTATTCGGATTAATTCGTCGAACAAACTTGTGTATGCAACAATTGCGTACGAGGCTCTGTACTACCCCTAATTTTGACTATTTCTCATTGTAAAAATCTGTGAATCTTACTGAAAGAGTAATAAATATATACGCGAAACGGCAGTGTAAGAACTTGTATAGTTTCTTTATAAAAAAAATACCAAAGAGTACATAAAAAAAACGCGTTTTATAGCAGAAGACCGCCTTAACTGTATGCTTGACCCCATCCCTAATAATAATCAAGAACCTAAGAAGTGGACGGTTCTCCTTGCCTCTCGCGTCGTTTATTTTGCAAAGAACCTCCTAAAATCGTTGGTCGATCGATGGATGAACAGTTTCCCCGACTGTGGAAATTAGCGAGATCTGGCTGATCCTGACTCCTGTTCCTTTAACCGGAGCGAGAACTACTGTGGTGAAAGAGAGAAACCCGTGACCAGGGAACAGGGAGGGGCAGGAGATAATGAGAGAATCAGAAAACGAGAGAAAGACGGACGGAACGGGAGATAGCCTGAACGGGCAGATCGCGGAGCTGGACAGCCTCGGGATACGTAACGTCATCCTCGCTCGGTGCAGCGATATAATAGCCCTGGTTTGCCTCGGAGCCGCTCCGTGAGCGGAATTAAACGAGAGCAGGTTCAACGGCTGAACAAACCGTGGCTTCCGGTCACCGGTTCCCCTACCCGCCCGCCAGGAACTCGATCGCGTATTACGAAAATTACGATTACTCGGGGGAGAAACCGGGCCCCTCGTCCACCGATTAACCGTCCCGGGAATCCAACGTGGATACGTAGTCTTCCTCCTCGGGAACCCCGGACGGTAGTCGCCGACGACGAGGAGCAAACGCAAGTCGCCGTCTCGAGGGGAAAAGTGATTGGTCACGGGTAGCTTCGAAGATACAGAGAATCACTATTATTTTCCTAGAGCAACGTCCGACACTTGTTACTCGGTAATAGGCAACTTTGTTGACGTAGCACGAGATAAATAATCCAGACGCTGCGAGCCTCGATGCACCGCGTGACATTCGTTGCTCGATATCGTAGTTAACGTCGGCGATGCAGCGACAGCAAACGTAATCCAGCTATTAGTTTTACTGTTCTGGATCCAGGTGCCTTAATCTTGACTGGCTCAGTCTATCGAGCTCCTTAATCCCAGCGTTTAAACGGCTGTCGCTCGCCAGCCAACTTTAAGACCACGTACTTATGATAACAGGTATTTCGAGATACGTTTCGATTAATATTTAGCCTGGCATTAACGCAGTGTTTCAAATTGATACTTCCACTTTATGTTTTTGTCGAGTGCGGAATGATACTCGACTTCTCGTCGCTAACAGACGCGTCCAACAAATTTTACGCGATAGTAAACGCTTGGGAGCGGGTTATAAAGATGTCGAAACCGACATTAACGAAACACGTACTATTGGGAGATGAGATGATGGCACACGATCCACCTAATCCCCTACGTTCCTTAGGTTCTTGGTTTTTATTGGGCAAGTCGAGCCAAGCCCCTAAGAACCTAAACAGTGGAGAGGATTAGCTTGAGCATACGGATGATTCCCTTTGCTAAGAGTAATTTTTTGGGGCGAAAAAAGGTTCAATATCGACGGGACAAACGGTTACAGAAGGGAAAGACCACTTCGAGTCTTTGCAAGGTGATTTCTTGAAATTATCTGGAGAACTAATAATTTTTTGCCATGATACCTTAATAATTTTTTTACGTAGAGTGGACAGGAGAATAGAGCTGTGCAACAAAAAATGTACATTTCCATTTAAGGAAAGGATGCAATTCTTAATAGCACATGCACTGTTCAATTTGAAAAAATCTACGATCCTACAGATGTAGTGCTCTTCGAGCTATTTACCTTTCTTCTTTAGCATTTTTTCGTAAATGCATTAATAACGGAGTTATGACCTGAAACAATTGCATGGACCATCTTGTATATTGCAGGTTCATAACTTCAATTATTTATATTTCTAAAATTATTGAATATCTTTAATATTTTAGACATACCATTAGAAACATATACAGGGTGTTCGGCCACCTCTGGGAAAAATTTTTCGAGAAATTGAAAAGTTTCAAATCATTCTGGAAAAATTATTTTCGGCTGCGGGGATCAATTACAATCATTTTTGGTCAATAGACATATCCTGGAAATCCTAACCATTTTCGAGGAAAAAATTCCTTTTCGAAAATATAATTTCAGGTCAGAAATGTCACTCCTAAATATTGTGCATATCTTTAAAACGTCATAACTTCTGAACGGATTGAAGGATTTTCATGTTTCAAAAGGCAAATAACGCGTATTTTAGTGAAGAATATGTAGAAATTCTAACACGATTGAAAAAGTTGTTCCTTGACCCCATAATGTGAGAAAAACCACATAAAAATGGTCCAATTTTCAAACAGCCATAACTCCTACAATAGTAAATATATTTAAATGAAACTTTTTTCTGAACTAGAGATCATGGTTACCTACAAAAAAGTATTAAACAACTTTCCTATAGGGCGTCAAACAAAATTACTAAAAATCAAAAACCTATCATTTTGCAAAGCCCCGTTGAAATCGAAGTTGGACAATTGAGGTCCCTTCCTCGTAAGTTTCATAAAAGAATGCTCATAATCCGAAAGTGTCCACTATTCCGATATCCCTGAAAACAGTAAAAATTTCGCGTATGTGGGTGACGTAGCAGTAAACGCGTCGAGCGTCTTCTAAAACGCGCCAAATCTAGAATCTCTGTTACTCGCTGGAAGGAATGGCGGCACGGTGGGGGGGAAGGCCGGCAGCTTTTTCCTCCGTCAGCAGTCACCCGATCCCCTTTAACCAGTTGAACGCACCCGAGACACGCCTCTCCCCGTGAAGGATCCTCAAGGACACCGTTTCCTGCTTAATTAATTAACCGCCGACCGACGTCGGTGCGTAGCTCGCCGTATCCCCTGCATTTTGACCGAGACCGACACCTCGTAATCTTCAACTGTCGCGTTCCCTGGTGGTACCACGATGCGTGAGCACGCAGAGGACCCAAGCACGAAAGCGCCTGCGGCTAGCCGCAACCCAGCAGCCTCGACGCGGAGTAATTTCGAATGAAACGCTCGAGAGCCGGACGCTCCTACGGGAGGCGTTAACGAATTTGCGTACGCGGGGCTAATGAGATTCGCGGGGCCATTTGGGCTACCCTCGATGGAGTTGTTCTCGCGCCTCGTCAGGGTGTTAGTGTCCCGTGATGGATGGGAAAACTTGGTGAGTTTATGGGAGGGAACTCGTGTCGGTTCCGATGGAGAAGTCTTATTCGGTGTACACGTGTCGAGAATCGGCTAA